GCCGATTGTAGTAAATATCCACCGGGAAATTGTTTGTGCCGACATTGGGGACCCTTTGACTGTCCTTGGAAGGACACAAGCAGTCTTAGTGGGGAACAAAAGGACGCAGACCAGGAGACATAATAGGAAAGTGCTCTCTTGACTTTCAAGGAGTGGAGAGCCCTTTCCAGCTTTGACACTGGAGCCAGGATAAAGGTAGGCAATACTATAGGTTGATTAAGGTGGAAGGCCGTAGCCACCTTCGAATAGGGTCACCTTATCAGGGTGGAATTGCAGGAAGGGCGGGTCAACTCGAAGAGCCGTCAGTTCACCAGCACGCCATGCCGAAGTAACAGCGAGGAGGAACGCTGTCTTTAGCGTAAGGAGCCTGAAAGAAGTGGTAGCCATAGGCTCAAACAGTGGGCCCATGAGCTTGTTTAATATGAGCTGCAAAGACCATTGAGGTGTGGGCGACTTGTAGGCTGGAAACAAATTTTTGAGGATGGGGCAAAGTCCTCTGTCTTTCTTAGGAATGATAAAGTACTGGGAGAAAAAAACTATGCGCAATATCTGGGATGTGAACCAGGGTAATGGCATGTTTCAAAAGAAGTGCATCAAACTCCTGTTGCAGTATGAGGGAGGGAGCAGTGTCTCTAAGCAGCCCCGTGCAAGGTGTAGAGTCAAATTAAATTGCATATCCTGTGGCTATGATCATGAGAACCCATGAGTTGAACGTGATAGACTCCCAAGCGCAAAGGAATGGTGTTAACCGGATTGAGTTGAGAGATGTTGCTGGTGGGCCAACAGCTTTAAAGGTTCTGCCTAGGCTTATAGTATTGGCGGTGGGCTTGTTGACGAGGCCGCTGTCTAGCAGATTGTTGCCGGGACTGACTTGCAAAACCAGATGTTTGCGTCCTCTGGCGGTCAGGGAAAGGCCAATATGCGCAATGTCTGTGCCAGGAATTCCTTGGACAGGACTGAGCGTTGTAGGATCTGGCTGTCTTGCGGAGCTTCAAGAGGTTATCAAGACTCTCGTTTGTTTTGCCATTGAAAAGACCAACCCCATCAAAGGGCAGGTCTTCGATTATGGCCCTGGCATCATCAGATATGCCAGCTAAATGCAACCAGGCATGTCGACATAAGGTGACAGGCAAAGTGATTTGCTTGGCAGCAGCGTCCACAACATGCCTAGTGGAAATTCTTTCCTGTCTCGCCAGGGTCATGGACTGCTGATGGCAGGTGAGGCTTGGCGACCCAAGATCCTCAGGAGCAGCCTGCAGTGCTGGCAAGACAATATTCCATAAATGGCAATGATAAGCACCCATTGCTGCCATGTAATTTGCCACTTGAAGTATGAAGGATGCTAGGGAATAAACCAAACCCTACAGCACATCCAGTTTCCTCCCCTCTTTATTGTTGGGCATGGACACAGATCTACTCCCAACTTTATTTTGCGTGGCATCCATGACAAAGGAATTGGGCATTGGATGCTTGGAAAGGAAGTCGGTATCCTTGCCATGAGTTTTACAAAGGTTCTCAACCATTCTGGGAATTTGATGGGATGTTGATGATTTGTCCCAAGGTTCTTTAACCCGTTGGAGGAGGGAGGATATAAAGCCTAAACAAAGAGGGGGGACCTGATCCTTTGTGATATCTTCATGAACCTTGTCCTCTTGTTCAGCAGTAGGCTGTATCACTGCAAGGTCCATGACTTCAGCAATTTTCTTGATCAGGTGGAAATATACCGTATACTCCTTGGAGGGGGACAGTGGATGACTCCCTGCAACATCAGAACCCAGAGTTGGAATGTTCTAAGGAGAGTCCTTTTCAACTTCCTCGTTGGTGTCACCCGAATCGGTGTCGAAGTCATAGTTATGTTCAGGAGACTAGGAGAAAGTTGATCGGTCTTGAGCCGACCCATATCGGTCGGGGTGGATAGCTGAGGCCTCAACCGTTTCCTCCTCTGGCTCCTGTGAAGCCCTGCTTGGCGACACCAGTGGTGGGGTCATCGGCCCCAAATGGGGTTGAGGAACTGGGGTCGGGCCTGGTCTGCGGGTCCCAGAGCCTGAAGATGTCAGAGGCTCTTGAGGCCTTGGCTGGTAAGCTGCTCTACAAGGCGGAGGTTGAAATCGACGATCATCGTCAAAGTAAAAATAATCATTGGGATGCCATTGATACCGAGGTGGTGAAGGATATTCCTCGTAATATGGTGGCCAGTGGCGAGCCCAAAAATACAAGCACAGATCATAGGGTGTTGGGGGGCTGTCACACATCAAGGTCGTAGCCCATGGGATCGAAGTAGTCTCTGGGGAGGTTGCCGAAACTCTCCACAAGGAGGATATTCCTCGGGCAGTAGTGGATGCTGGGCCTGCTTGGGCTCAGGCTCCAGGAGTCGGGTCTTTTGCTTCTTTTTTCAAGTCGCATCCATGACTAGAGAAGCAGGCAGAGAGCACGACATCAGCCTCGACACCGAGCCCGGCGGCGACACAAGGCTGGCTTGAGCCTCAAGCTGTATCTCCACCAAGGCATCCGCCCAATCCAGAGACTTATGCGCAGAGAAGACGCTATGTCCGGCCTCGAGGGAGGAATACCATCATCTCCCAACAGTATGCTCAGACACACTGTCTCATGCTGGGCATGGGTCACAGGAATCGATGGCGAAGGCTCAGTCAGGAGCCTAGAGGTATTAGAAGATCATTTCTTTTATTCCTCGGCATCAAGGCCAAAGGGGTTTTTTATATCGACACTGAAGCAGTCAAGTCAACCTCAGAGGAAAGTGGTTTAGTTGCTTTGTGACCATGCTTAGGCGAACGAGTGGCAGTTGAAGAGGTCTCAGAAGATGGAGCTTGTGGCAGTTCTATGGCCGAGGCTCAGGCTGGGCAAAGCAATTTCTCCCACAAGTACAAGGGTCAGAGAACTTTTTTACCTTTTACCCCACCAAAAAATTTATATAAGCCAACCTTACAACCTTGATTTGAAAGGAAATAATACAGTATTTGACGAAACCACCCTTTTTCCTGCCTTAATTCAAGCCTTGCCTGTTCTTTTCATAGTTTTGAGTCAGTCTCTCTCTCTCTCTCTCTCTCTCTCTCACACACACACACACACACACACACACACACTCTAGGGTCACCTTATCAAGGTGGAATTGCAGGAAGAGCTGTCAGTTCACCAGCACGCCACACTGAAGTAACAGTGAGGAAGAAGGCTGTCTTTAGCATAAGGAGCCTGAAAGAAGTGGTAGACATAGGCTCAAACGGTGGACCCATGAGCTTGTTTAATATGAGCTGCAAGGACCACTGAGTCTCTGCTTTAGGGCAGGCTTAGTAAAAGCCTTACAAACGGCGCACAAAGCAGGCTGGTGCTCCTCCCTGAGACAGAATAAGCCCTGAGAATGGCCATCAGAGAGCGGGACCTTGTTACAGCAGGATGCGCAGCGTTTGAAGGGCCCTGAAGTGGCCATAAACTCGCAGAAAAACAAACACTCTTAACGTTAGACTCACAAAACCAGAAGAATGGTGAAACAAGCCGAGTCGAAAAAGCTGGGATGTCAAAGAATATGATTTAAACAAGGTTGAAGGGAAAAAACAAACATGAAGCTCCAATCTGAGTAGCTGCAGCAGAAACGGAACTGAGGCACTTGGTGCCAGGGTGGGGTTATAGCCAGCGTGTGGGAGGTCCCGGCACCATGTGCCTGAGCTATAGAAGATTCCAAGGCTGCTCTGCGCAGCCACAGATTAACCCATTAGTGTGAATTCACAGAGACCACGAAGAAGAACAGGGCCAATTCAGCAGAATGAGATGGAGAAATGCAAGCAATAACAACTATTTTCTTTTTTCTTTTTCTTTCGTTTCATTCTGGATTTAAAATGGATGTTTTTGACACAGGCTACTTTCATGGGATGGGAAACTCTTCAGTGCAAAGTGAGGTAACACAAGCGTGCCACCCCAAAAGGTGGTGGTGGGGCCTAAACCAAGCGCCGTCTCTTGGAATCTCTCTCCACGTCATCCTCTGGAGCGTCTTCATTGCAGCCCAGTGGAGACACCATGTTCAGCAGAGGGTCTTCAGAGGCACGACCAAACAGAGATAGCAGCAATGCTACACCGTAGCCAGTGGCTCGCTCACCCTAGGAACAAAGAAAGCGGGAGCTTCGTTTTAGCCTTGCTAAATCCTAAAGTAAACATGGGGCAAACACGGAGCAAAAGATTTCCAACACTGACTAGGAGTGCCTGTATTAGGCCCTCCATTTTAAGGCTGAATAAAATGAGGCAGACAAATGATTGTACCAAAAATCAAGAGACTGCTGTTCTCTTACTAGCGACAGGGATATTTGTATACGAATACCCCCGCACAGCTGGACCTAATGAGGGTCTGGCCCCAGGAACCTGCCCATCCACTCATGTATCCTGCTGTGGTGCTGGTCCCGCTCATCCTTCGAATGGTTCCTGCTTAGCTACCCACTCAGAAGCCTTTTAAGGAGACTCATCCTCCCAACCCCGGCCTGGAGTTGTCAGCTGAGCAAGAGCAAAGTGGAGCGCTGGACGCCATTTGAAGGACAAGCAGGACTGGCGCCACAGCAGGACATGAGTGGACGGTCTAGTCACGTCTATGTGATGTGTCCAACACTGACTAGGAGTGCCTGTATTAGGCCCTCCATTTTAAGGCTGAATAAAATGAGGCACACAAATGATTGTACCAAAAATCAAAAGACTGCTGTTCTCTTACTAGCGATAGGGATATTTGTATACAAATACCCCCACACAGCTGGACCTAATGAGGGTCTGGACCCAGGCACCGGCTCATCCACGCATGTATCCTGCTGTGGTGCTGGTCCCACTTATCCTTCGAATCGTTCCTGCTCAGCTGGCCACTCAGAAGCCTTGTAAAGAGACTCATTATCCTATCCCCTGCCTGGAGTTGTCAGCTGAACAAGAGCAAAGTGGAGTGCTGGACACTATTTGAAGGACAAGCAGGACTGGCGCCACAGCAGGACATGAGTGGACAGTCTAGTCACGTCTATGTGTAATCTGGTCAACCTCCCACCCCCAAATAATCTGAAAAATAAAGGAAAATACACCATTGTACATCTAGTAGGTTGAATGCTGTCTCAGGAAAAGCAGAATTCTGCAGCCAATTAAGACTAGTGGTGCCTCGTACAACGACGAATTCGCATAGCGATCCCTTTTTTGGGATCGCTAATGCGAAGGCATACCGGCAGCCCCAATGGGCAAAACTCGCATTGCGAAGATCGGTAAGTGTTTCGCTTACTGATCTTCGCATTGCGATGTCGGGAAATCAGCTGATCGGCGGCTCCAAAATGGCCGCGCGCAGCGTTTTCGCGCCCTGCCCTCGCTTACCGAGGTCGTGAAAATGGCTGCCGGATGGGGGAAACTTCGCTAAATGGTGAGTACAGAAGCCATTGGGACGCATTAAGTTTAATGCGTTCCAATGGCATTTTGCGTCCCGTTTAGTGATGTTTCCCCATAGCGACAGTTAATCCGGAACGGATTAATCTTGCTATGCAGGGCACCACTGTACAAGATTACCCACTTCTTGTTCTTTGCATCTTAGAATTTCAGAGCTAGAAAGAAACTTGGAGGTTACTGAAATCAGTCCCGTCCCCCCCGGCCTTCCGTTCAATGCATCTCCAGTGAAGCACCACTTACAGCCTGCTGCACCTACTGATCATCTCTTCCTGTTAGGATATTTATCCTGATCTGCCTTCTCTCTGATTTCTAGTCATTCGTTCTAGTCCTCCGTTGTTCAGCAACACAGAACAAATCTCCTCCCATCTTCAGCATGTAGGACAAGCCCATCAGATTTATTCTGCTTCTCAGAAATGGGCAACAGACTATACAAAGAGCCATGGCCTCTCCTCCCGACCTCTAGAAATCTCACTATAGCTGTATTCCTATGCAGTGTACATCCTTGGGATTTACATGGGAATAAATCCCATTGAACCCCATGGATTTATATAGTCTGATCTGCAGCCTATGATATGATTGGGCATATCCTCACATGCTTCAAAGCCTAACTTCTCAGCAGTTAACAGTGTTTTTAAAGCAAATGAAACCTTAGGTTTACATAATACTGAATTGTGATTTCTTTTGCTCACATATAATCAAAGTATAAATATCATACTTGATTATTATTGTAAGAGTACCAAGCACTGTACAGAATAAATTGGGGGGCGGGGGCAGAGATTCTCCTCCAAAAAGAATCAGTATCTGTGTTTTATTTTTATTGATCTGAACCATTCCTATACCACTCTTCAGTTAAAATTTTCCATAGTGGTATGTAGAAGGCCATAAAGCAGAATAAACCAGTAATGATTAACAACAGTTAAAAGGAAGGGCTAAATACAATCCACTGGACAAAGGAAAAGAAATATTCCATTAAATAAAAGGACAGGAAAGAGCACATGGAAACCGTATTAACTTACCGCGTGGACAGGGGCTGCAATGTCTATATGGACCCAGACACCAGGCCAGTCAAACCCAATATGTGAAGCAATAAAAAGTCCAGCACAAGAGCTTGGAGAGTTATCCCGGTCCTGGAGAAAACAGCAGAGTCAGGCTTGCTTTAGTAAGAAGCATTCCCTTATAAAGCATGTGAAAAGGTCTTGTCTAGATAGGATACTTCATTGGATTTCTAAAGAAGATGCGTAGAAGCAACCTCGTGTTAAGCAGCATGAGTGTATGTCAAGCCATTCATTCATTCCCAATATTTTTCATCCCACCTTTCTCCTTCAAAGGTGGGATCCAAGGTGTCTTACATCATTAAAAGACAGTATGTAAAGCTAAAAGCAATTAAGTATATAAATGTTACAAAGGACCAAACAAGTACTACTGTAAAAAATGGTTTAAAAAAGTAAGACCAAAGACATTCAAAGCAACAAGGCACAATAATGCATTAACCCTCCTCGCGCAGCCAATCTTTGAGGGAAAGCTTGCCTGAAGAGAAAGGTCTTTGCCTGCTTGCAGAAAGACAGCGACGATGGGGCCAGTCTAAACTCCTGTGGGAGGGAGTTCCAGAGTCTCGGAGCACTGACAAAGAAGGCCCTCTCTCTTGTCCCCACCAAATATGTCTTTGATGGTGGTGGGATAAAGAGGAAGACCTCTTGACACCTGAGCACACTCATAAAGAGAGACAAAGTCCTTGAGAGATCTCAGACTCGGGCTTTATCGGTAAAACACTATTGGACTCGTGGAGCAGTCAGCCTGCTCTTTCGATGTGACCTGCAAAGGCCATCACTGGTTACATGCCTTGGCTGTCTATCCACTGTTTTTGTAGTACCAGTGCTGGCCCTGACGCTGGGCAGGGACAGGCAATAAATTCAGGCACCAGATTTGGGGTTACCAGAAAGAGCACATGTTGTTAGTAATTTACTTTATTATTCTTATTCTTTCATTTTGATTGCCAGAGCTGGGGAGAACTATTTGTGGGGTTTTCTGCCCCAATACTAAAATAACTTGGCTGGCTCAGGCTGTACTGTACCCCTGACTTGGGAAAAGTATAACATTACCTAGCCTACTGGGAAAAGTATAACATTACCTAGCCTATCTCCCCTTTTCTTTTCTCTCTCTCTTACTGCATTAATGCCACAAATTAGTGGCAGATAAAATTGAGTGCTGTGAGGAAGCGCTTGTTTTGTCATGGATTTTATTTTTATTTATTTATTTATTTCAGCTGCTGAAGGACAGCTTTAAACTAGACTGCCATAAAAAAAACCCCAAAAACCAAATAAGCAGCTTCCAGCCATGAATGAAATGCTGAAGAAAACAAGACCCTAAGGGGGAAGACATGTAGGAATGATGAAGGACAGCCTGGAGAAATTTGCATTTCTGTTTGAAATAGACACTCCAGAAATTATAATTTGCAAAGAAATGGTAATGAAGCTGTTAAACTTACTGCCACAGAGTTCTTCATGTCAGCTACAGCTGAGGTAAATTCGGTAAAATGCAGCTCAGGGCAATAGACAAGGGGATGAACTAGATCTCCACAATTTCTGCCTGCCTTAACGCAAGCAGTTTCCCATTCTTCATTGTTGGTGAGGACGGCAGCGTGGTACTTCCCTGTGGCAATTCCCTATTTGGAAATAAATGGGGGGAAAACACATGAAATCCAAGATGATGGAATATTTACCATACATTAAGTAACAGCTATAATCTGGGTTGAATCCTAGATTCTGGGCCACACAAGATTAGATTACTGCTGCCAAGTGACAAGCATAGGGTATGACATGGTATCTTTTATCTCCATTTACCCCTCTACCCATCAGAAGCCAACGGAGGGGGGGGGTAGGAAAAGGAAATAAGGAAGGCAGCATGAAGAGAACACTTTCCATTTGCCTGTGTTCCCTGGAATCTCTCAAAATAATATTCCTCTCTCTCCCATTACTCAACAAGACATAATAAGAGACCCTTCATATCTGGGAGACATTACTCAACAAGACATAATAAGAGGCCCTTCATATCTGGGAGTCTACCGCACAATCGATCGCAATGGCTTTCAGGAAATTAGCTTATATATTTCTGGCCGCCTTTGCAAACAGTGCTGTTCTGTATGTAACATATGGTTCACAGTCCAAAAGTAACCTGACCACCTTTATCTGAGGGCTTTCCGCTTGCAGAGCAGCCAAAACGTTTCCCAGGAACTTTTCTCTAGGGCTTTGATAGAACTGACAGGAAATAGTGGACAACATCCTCTATCTCACCTGATCCACAAATATATAGCCTTAGATGTTTAGGGACATTCATGTAGCTGCTGCCTAAGACAGCGGTTGGCAAGGTTTGGAAACGGAGTTCTATGAATGCAGTTCTCAAGGAGGCAAAAATAAGTGTATGTAAGTCTTGCGCCCTTGGGTGGTTTGTTTTCAGCAGATGAGAGAAATTTTAAGAGTGAATTAAGACTGAGTCCTGGTCATTATGCAGTTTGTAGAACCAGTCCCTCAACATTCTTTTAAACCCAGAAAAAACAAAAATATCTGTGGAGAGGGGTTTAGATTTTAGTAGGGTTTGAACTGAAGTTGCCCAGCCACCACTCTTCCATTGCCCTACCATACAACGTTTAGGTAGACGGTGGTCGGACATATCCATCAACCTCTTATAGCTATAGCTAGAGTTGCTCTGGCTTTAATGGACATCATGCCTGTCTCGGTTCTAAGAAAAGCTGCTGGAGTCACCCGGGGTGCCGCGAGGATGTGTCTCAGAAATTTATTATGTCCTACTTCAAGATGGTGTAGGTTGTTCTGATTCATACCCCAGATCTCAATTCCGTAAAGCATTTGAGAGGCGACCCTCCCTGAATAGACTTGTAAAGCTGGGGTTACTAGTTTACCACCTTTAGAATGGAAAAATTTGACCAGAGCATGACTAGATTGCATACCCTCTATACTAAGAAGACAAAGCTTTGAGTATGAATCACGCCTGGAATGCATGCCTGAGGATTAGGAAAGCTAAATACAAGATAGGGCTGCATCAGAAGGTTGGCTATCAGCTGATGAACCTGTTCAGGTACCCATGATGACTTCCAACCTTCTGTTCACCGTAATGGTGATCAGAACTGCCGCCTATGAAGTTCAGGTACCCATGATGACTTCCAACCTTTAGTAGGAGAGGGATGAGAAGATTAACAAGGATGGACATGGCAACAATGCAGAATAGCTCTGTACCAGCTGAGGGACATCCCCCCCATGCTGACAAAATCACAGATTTACAAGGCACTTATCTGTTTAATAAAGAGATTTAATAACCCATCCCTAGGATATGTGCTCTCAAAAGGTGATTTACAATGTGTGTGACATAATGAGCTGTGAACACAATTGGCTGACCTTGGGCCAGTCACTCTAGCTAAGCCTCACCTACCATATGGAGTTGTGAGGATAAATCAACTATGCTGCTCTGAGCTTATTAGAGGAAATTGGGATATTAATGTACAGTGGTGCCTCACTTGACGACATTAATTCGTTCCAGCAAAATCGCTGTAGAGCGAAAACGTCGTAAAGCGAAATAAAAAAGCCCATTGAAATGCACTGAAAACCATTCAATGTGTTCAAATGGGCTGAATACCTGCTCGTCCAGCGATGATCCTCCATACGTCTTGTGAAAAATGGCTCCTAAAAACAGCGGGGAGCCATTTTGAGCAGCAGGCGGCCATTTTGAAAACCCGAAGATCAGCTGTTTTGATCGTCGTAATGCGAAGAATCGGTTCCCGAAGCAGGGAACCAATCGTCGCAAAGCGAAAAACCCCCACTAAAACATCATTTTGCGATCGCAAAAACATCATCGTGAAGAGGATTCGTCGTTATACGGGGTAATCGTTAAGTGGGGCATGACTGTAATTAGTAATTGCTAGAGCAGGGATACTCAGAATAGTGTAGTAGGTAAAGTAATGGACTAAGTAGACCTGAGTTCAAATCCCTGCTTGGCCATGGAAACTCACTGGGGGTGTGGAACTAGTTAAACCAATCCTTAAATATCTCACTTACCTATAGAGGTCATCATCATCATCAGTAATTTTATTTATATGCCAAACATTTATATGCCCAACAAGGAACCCAAAGTGGCTCACAACATTAAAATTCACACAATTAAAAACATAAGTTAAATGTATTCCTGCACTGAACAGGGGGTTGGACTTGATGGCCTTGTAGGCCCCTTCCAAGTTCACTTTTCTATGAATCTATGAATATTAAAAGACAAAGTAAACCATATATGATTCAAAATAAAGTTAAGAGATTAAAACATGAAAACATGATTCAAAATAAAATTAAGAGATTAAAACATGAAAACATGATTAAAACATGAAAACATGTTACATGCCTTCAAGTCAGGTATGACTTGAAGGCATGTAACAACAATTATTGTGATACCATCTGTCTGTATCTATCGAATCAGCAACATCAATTCTGTATGATATTAAGTAGATATAAAAACAAAACTGCATGAGCATCCAAAAAGGTTAGTGCTTTTCTAAAAACTAGTAAGAATTAGCAGTTTCTTTGCAAAGAAAATGACAAGGTCACCCAGCGACATCATGGTAGGACCCACTACAGGAAAGGCTCTGCCTCTGGTATTCATCAGCATAACAGCACTTGCTAAAGGACCAGATAATGGGATCTTAAAAATAGACAGCAAGACTCATCCTGGTCCATGCAACTGTAATACCAAACCGCAGAGGCATGGTGCCCTATAAAGCAGGAACCGGACGTGGGAAACAGACTTACCTCCTTGCTCTCCTATGGAGTGCACCAGATAGAGCAGATGACTCCATCTTAGTTTGAACTAATTCATAGCTTTTCACTACAATTGCTATCTCCTGGCATTCCAGGAAAATGTATTAGGCTCAAACTCTGGTGAGCTTCCAATAGAGATATTTCAAGAACCCAATCTGGGCATGGCTTCCTAGCTGATCTCGTGCTCATGCATCAAACCTAGGACAGAATGTTAGAAAAGCATTCCTGCCCTGAAACAGAAATCACTCTAAGCAAAACGAGCAAAAAGATTTATGCTTATCCCTAAAAGTTACCTGAGCCCCAGTGAGAGTAGCCATGTCAAGAATGATGTCAGCACCAAGGTCTTTGCGGGCGTACGCAACTCCATCAGCAAGCACCAACCTGCCTTCGGCATCGGTGTTGTTGATTTCCACAGTTCTGGGGAAAGGATGGGAACTGTTTTTCAAATCAGCCACCATTTCAGCATACATTTTTAGCAATGTCTGTCCAAAATAGCCCTGTGAAACTACCTGGAGATTACCATATAAGACTATACTTTTGACTAAAATCTTAGGACTAAAAACTGAGGCTCATCTTATACACAGAAGTTAAGCTGAGGAAATAACAAAAATAAGTGGAGGGGAAAGCAGGAATCAAAATCATTCTGCAGGGCTTTGATTCCTGCTTTCACCTCCACTTGCTAAGCCCCACCTAGATTTCTTAATTTTGGGTTAGAAAAGTGGGGGGCGTCTTATACATGGAAGTGTCTCATACATGGAAAAATGTGGCAATAATGCTTCTGAAACAGCAGCTATAGAATATTACATTAATTGTAGAGATGGAGGGAAAACCCAGTAATTTATCTTGGCCTAAAAGAACGCCACACACCTTTATATCCCCTCCTTCAAATTCTGATGGAAAATGCCTCTGTTTCTGCTACTCGCAGGCAGGACACAGAGCTGTGGGGAAGTGGGAATGCCATTCTGCTCCTAGTCATGAAGGAAAGCTTATTCAGCAACCCATCTAACACTTGCACTTTTGGGAACCCCCTTTAAAGCACAGCTGGTCCAAGAGAATGGCTAGCAACCTGTGTTTTCTTGCAAATGAAAGCTGAGCCTAGTTATTGCATCATCTTCTTTTCTTCCTGCACCCATCTCGAATCCTGGCTTATCCATGCCCCTCGAACCAATTAAGCACACCGGGGACCACGTGTGCTACCTCAGATTCACTTTTGCAAGCTGGGAGCGGGTGCAAAATTCTGTAAGATACAAGCACTGAATGATGATGATGAAAGAGGCTCTTATCTTACTTTCCCGAGTAAAGAACATGGATATCATCAGGTCTTGTTGCATTTGGTCCAACAGAATTCTCGGCCAAGCAAAACACTGCGTGAAGATTGTCTTTAAAGCCCTGTAGCAAAACAGAGAAAAAGAGCAAGCATATCTCAACAAAAGATACAAGATGTTTGGGTCAACATTTCAAATATAAGCTAACAGGAGGCAAACTCTCCTGTTTTAATTCATTCTGCTCAAAAAATCCATGCCAAGGGTTGCCCACCCAGAAATAAACACAATTTCTTGAATGTTTGGAGAATTGGCAAAAGAGGTCATCAAAGGGTTAGAGGTCGATTGATTTCATTAGATAATTGCTGCAGGGCTTCTATGAATGGCAAGAAGTGACAGGATTATCACATACAGTGGTGCCTCGCTTAACGAGTGCCTCGCTCAACGATGAATTTGCATAACGATGGCCTTTGCTGGAAATTTT